CTCGCGCAGCACGACGAGGCGCCGCGCGCGCCCGCTGCCGCGCCCGCGCCCAGCGTGGAGGTTGTGGCCACGCAACCAGCAGACAGCGAGAACAAGTTTGCGCTCGGCGGCGCCACGCTCTTTCTCACTAGTGCCGAGCCCGAGCAGAGCTCTGCGGCCGCGTACCAACGCAAGTTCACGGAGATCTTGCGCGCGCGCCGGCTGTCCGCGATCGCGCGCGTCGACATTCCGGCCTACCCCGCGCCGCAGCTGATGCTGCTGGTGCCGCTCCAGGGCGGAATGCTGCTCGCGACGCCGATCTTGAACAAGTTCCACTGCACTGAGCACTTCTTCCGGCTCGGCGGCTCGCGCTACCTCGCGAACGCGCAGTGCGCGCCGCCGCCCGCGCCGCACGCGCCGACCGCCGAGCTGCGGCCGCAAGCGCTAGCGGCCGTCGCCGCGGACCCAGAGCGCGTTGCAGCGTTTGCGCTGATTTTGGTCAAAAATTGCATAAAATCGACTTGCACACTAATAGATTACCGCTTCGAGGAAATATATAAGCAGCTTTTGGCTAAATTTTCCACGCCTGTCTGCGACTAAAATCTGCGAGCGCACATGATCGAACGGCTTTCGAAGAACCTGCTGTGGCTCAACGGCGGCGTCACGCTCACCACCGCGCTCGCGGACATGATCTGGAACTCGAACGCGCTGCGGCCCACGCTGCGCGCGCTGCCCGGCGCGGGCAAAACCGTGCTGATCACCGGCGCGACGGACGGCATCGGCGCCGGCTTCGCGCGCTACTTCGCCGCGCTCCCGCAGCCACCGCACCTCGTCGTTTCCGGGCGCTGCCCCGACAAGCTGGCCGCGACCGTCGCCGCGCTGCAGCAGCTGAACCCCGAGCTGCAAATCAGCTCCCTGCTCTGCGACTTTTCGGCGCTCGAGACCGCCACGCTCAAGCTGCCCGCTGCGAAAATCGACTGGTTGATCTCTTGCGCGGGGCTCAGCTATCCGTCCGCGCAGTACACCTACGAGATCTCGCCCGAGCTTATCGAATCGCTGCTGAAAGTCAACTTCGTCTCGACCGTCACGCTGATCGAGCACGTACTGCGCCACAACGGCGCGCACCCCGTTGTCGTGGTCGCCTGCGGCAGCGGCGCCGCGACCGTGCAGGAGCCGCTGCTCTCCGTCTACGCGGCTTCGAAGGCCGCGCTGAAGCAGTACGTGCTGCAGACCAACGCGAGGTTCCTCGGCTCCGACACCTCGCTGCACGTGCTCGAGCCCTACCTCGTGACCACGCGCATGTCGCGCCTCCGGAAGCCGTCATTCGCAGTTCCCTCCGTCGAGCGCTTCGTGCGCGACACCGTGCAGAGCGTGCTGTGCTCCTCGAACAAATGCGCGCTCTCCTACCGTCCACGGCTGAACCCGTACTGGGTGCACTGCCTCGTCGACAACTTCGCGACGCGCCTGCTGCCCGACACGCTTTGGACAAAGTTCCGCCTATACATGCAACTCAAACTGCGTAAATACTACCTCTCCAAGAAACTCTAGCCGAACTGCGCCGTCTGCACCGTGACCAGTAGGTGCTGCTCCGTCACGCGCAGCGCAGCCGCGCAGAAGCCGGAGAGCGCAGCCATTTCGCGCGGCTCGTGCACGCAGTCTTGCGCGCCAGCCGCCTCCGCGACGCCGCGCGCCCGCGCCACCGCCAGCGAAACGCTGCCGTTTGTGCGCCGCGGCGCGACCTCGAACTTGCCGTAACGCGTGCTGCCCCAAACCAGCACCACGCCGCCGACCACCGCAGCCGAGCTGTTCCCGCCCGCCGCGCAGCGCGTCGCGGGCCCCGGCAGCCGCACGCGGTGCAGCCGACGCAGCGCGAGCAGCGACTTCGCGGCCGCACACTGCCCCCAGCAGTTCGCGCCCCAGCTGTACAGCGTGCCGTCCTGCAGCAGCAGCAAACAGTGCGCGCGGCCAGCCTGCACTTCTTGCACAGCGGCCGCGCTGCCGCGCAAGTGCGAGGCGATCGCCGCGTTCAGCGGCGTGATCTCCACCGGCAACAGGTTGTTCAGCTTCACAAAGTTCGGCTGCTGCACGCGCCGCAGGTTGCTCGACTCCGCAAGCAGCGGCGGGACGTCGCCGATCGCGTAGACGCACGTCAGCTCGCGCGCGCCGACGCTCGTTTTCAGCGTCAGCACGCAGCCCTTCGCGGTGAATGCGAAGCTGCCGCGCGAGTCGCTGCTGAACACGCGCTCGAAGCGCGCGACTAGCTCGAACGTCTTGAGCCGCGCGAACTCCGGCCACTGCCCGCACAGATACAGCCCGCCGTTGAAAGTCAACAGCGCGGAGCGGTCCTCCGCTGCGCCGACGCAGACCGCTTTCTGGTTACCGCAACTCGAGCCCAGCTCGCACGGCGTGTGCAGGCTCGGCGAGAGCCCCAAGCCGAGGCTCTCCGCGCAACCCCAGCCGTAGACAATGTTCTGCTCCGCGCAGCGCGAACCTACCTTGCTGGTCAGCGCCAGCACGTGCTTGTCGCCGAGCGCCACAGCTATCACCGGATCCGGCAGCGCGACCTTCGCGAAGCCACTCGTGAAACCGTAGTTGTGCCCGATCCCGAGCTGCCCGTGCGAGTCGGTGCCGTACGCGAAGAGCGCGCCGTCCGCCGTGCGCACCACCACGAAGCCCGCACCGCTCGCGACCTCCGCGACGGCCGCGTCGAACGGCTCCGAGAGCAGCGGCTGCCGCTCCGCGCAGCTCTCCGCGCGGAAGAGCGGGGCAAAGTAGCCGAAGCACGGGTTCACGACGCTCGCGTCTCCCGAAACGCTGAACGCCGCCTTGCAGCCGGCGCGCGCCGCGCGTCGTGGCACGAACGTGAGCGCGCCGAAGAACGCAAGCCTCGGCCGCTCGATCCCCATGATCTCGCGCGCGGTGAACAAATTCCTGCTGGGCGTGCCGTGCACTTACGAGACCAGGTTGAATTTTGCGACAACTGCTTCGTTCTTGGGCATTTTGCCCGAATTTTTATTTCGCGCTGATGCCGCCGACAATCGAAGTAACCAACTTTCTGGACGAAAAGCGCTCCCTGAGCGAGTTCCGCAGCGTCTGCGAGTCTTTCGGGCCGGTAGTCGCGTTTGAAGTCACGAAAATCGGAAGTACGTAATTTTGCGAACTATTAGACACACGAAAAATTCTGCTGAAATACGCGGACGCGCAAGACGCGGTGCACGCCTTCGACAACTTGCAGGGCGCGGTCTGGAACGGCGCGGCGCTGCAACTACGCAGGTGTTGAACATTTACCAAGACCTAACAAATTATTAATCGAAAAACCCATGCAGACCGAGTTCGACGCAGTGGGCGCTGGCGCCTCCACCACGCAGCCGATCCAGGCGGGCAACATCAAGAAGGGCGGCTACGCCATGATTAAGGGCAGGCCGTGCAAGGTAGTAGACATTTCGACCTCCAAGACCGGGAAACACGGCCACGCGAAGGCCAACATCACGGGCATCGACATCTTCACAGGCAAGAAGTACGACGACTCGTGCCCGACTTCGCACAACATGGAAGAGCCGATCGTGTCGAAGTCGCAGCTGAAGTTGATCGACATCCGCGGCGTCGACCTGACTCTGATGGACGACAGCGGGAACTGCGACGAGTCGCTCAAGTGGAACGGCAACGATACCGACAAAGAGCTGCAGATCTGGAAGGACGCGCTCGAGAAGGGCGATGAAGTCATGGTCACAGTGATTTCCGCCTGCGACACTTCCCGCGTGATGGGTCCGAACGAGAAGTAACTGCACAGCTTTTTATTTTCAGAAATTCATGGCCAGCCGGACCTCTGCGATAAACCGGCCGAACCCGGCGGACCTGGTCTTTCTCGCGGAGGGCGAGGCGAAGTTGAGCATCGTGCCCGACCGCTTTGCGGCGAACTCAATCAACATCACCTTCTGCAAAGAAGACCACACTCTCGGCGCGTTGCTGGTCAAGTAAGTTTTGTGCGCGGATCGCTAGCCAATTGTTGCGTGACAAAGACGTCTCGTTCGCGGCCTTTCGCATGCCACACCCGCTGACGCCCGAGATCGTCGTGCGCGTTCAAACTGTCGAAGGCACGACCCCCTACCACGCCGTCGAGAACGCGTTTCTCGCGCACAACGAGTGCTTCGCGCACATGCGCAACCAGCTCCGCTAATCCAAGCTTTCGCTTGCGCCGTAGTTATTCGCGCAAGCGGCGTTCCAGCGCTGCGCCGGCTGCCCACGATCCCTCGCCGCCGCGCATCCGTTCTGCTCAGTGCCCGTAGTTTCGAAGCTGCGCGGCTTGTCGCGCCACGAACATGGAAACGCAGAATTGCGTCAGCCTCGCACACTGCACTACGCGCTCTGCTAGTTGCCGGCAGCGACGTTCATTAGGCCTATTCGCTTGGCTTCGCCGCATAGTCTTTACGACCGCTTCTGCCGCGATTCTCGCGGAGCAGATTGCATTAACGGGTTTGCGCAAGCTAGCTGCGCTACTGTACCGAACCCATTTTCCTGTCAAATCAGTGCCTCCCGCCAACACTTTAGTGCCCAAACAATTTGCACGCAGCCTGTTGCGACGGAAACAGTGAAGCTTTGGGTGCCGCTAACAGCTTTTGTTTCCAAGTGCTGCATGGTGTTCGTCCTGCGGAAACTTCGGCAGTTGCACATCGCTCGTTAAACAACTATATCTGCCCATGCGCTAGATGCTGCACGCTTTTTCGCCGTCTCAGCGGGGCGAATGCGATAGTAAAAAACGGCGACATTTCTGATGTAAACAAAGAACTGGCACTCAAGCAAAAACTGAATGCATAAACTATACTGTTTCTGCAGCCTGATGCGCAACCGCATTGCGTAACGCAAGTGCCTAACGTGGCGCAACCATCGAGCCTTTACCAGGTTCTTCGCTAAATCTAATGTCTGGATTCGGCAGCACGGTTTTACGCTGCGTGTGCCGCGATGTAAGAGGGCGGTCGTTAGAACGCGACTCAAAGCGTGGACTAAACGCAACGACCGCGCCTTGCTAGAACGAGCTTGTGTATTCAATTGCGCAGCTCACCCCCTGCAGCCGTGATGAGCGCGCAATCGCACTGCAGAAGTGTGCTAGCTTTGCAACTTTTTCAGCCGCACTTCACGATGCGTGGATTCCTCTGAAAATTACAACATCGCACGCCGCAGGAGAACGCTGAACAAAAAGCACTGGACTGTGCAACGATATTTTGCTACAAGGAGTGAGCTCTCATCGAAGATGCGCATTTTTCGCTAATCGCACAAACCTGGTTGAGCTGATGAAATGAAACTAAATGCTCTTGGCAAATCGCGAAGTTACCGCTACGAGTCAAGACAAAGTTTTAAAAATATACTTTTTTTGGCGCAGCAGCGGAACAGCAAATTGAAAGCGAGTCGTGCATTGCGAATTTGTGGTGCAACGAATAAAACGTGTGGTTGAACATGAACCTAGGAATCGTCGTAAAAGCTGGACAAACTACTTTCAAATTTTTGGATTACAAAACTCAGATCCAGTGGATTGTTGATGAAATTAATTTTTTTGTGATCAAAAAAATTCTTTGATAAAAAACAAAACACAAAAGCTTCGGCGCTACCAGGGTATAATTCTGGAAAGCTCGGTGTTTCGCAACTTATATGAGTAATATATTTAGATAACAGCGATTTGAATGTATCCGTGGGAATTTTTTTTATTTTGTTGTGGTGTATATAATTGGGGAAAAAAACCAGAATAAAAAACCTAGAACCATTGATTTTGCACAGGACTAACGAATTTCTAGCCGCGCTGGTCAACTGCACTAGCAGCTGAACTCACTCAGCGTATGAACAGCTTCGCACGCCAGTAAATTAACGGATTAACTCTGGTAGATCTTCCAACCCGGCTGTGCGATGAGCGCTGTGGATAGCGAGAAAAAAAGTATACATTGCATTTTTTAGCATTTGCAACAGAGTTGCTCGTTCATCTCGGCAGTTGACAGAATGGCGTCGCGTCACCAAGAGTCGTCGCTGTTGCTCAGCGTGCAAAAACAGTCGTTGCAGCGAGCGCAACAGGTTAGATCGCTTAGCTCCTATTTTGCCCAGTTTCGCTCGGGTGCAGCGCGGCTGCGAACGAGACACGTCGGCTGAAGAAAAAAGCGCTCGTCTTCTGAACGCGCAGCTGTGCGAAAGGAGTTCCGCTCAAGTGGCTTTAAACTGCGATTTGACAGTGTATAACCTGCGGCGCTGGCTGAGCATCTTGCAGTCTGCCAGCTTGTCGAGTACGGCCTTCAGGCGCTGCGTGGGCACGGGCAACAGCGACATGATTTTCGAGAAGCTGACGCCTTCAGGGTTGTTTTGCAACAGCTCGAACACCTTCTCGTACAGCAAGTTTTCGTCGATCTTGAGCGCACGGTCGTTCGCTGCGTCGCTTTCGTAGAAGCGGAACATTTTGGAAGCGGTCGGCTCGTCAGCGGCGAGCTCGGTGGCCGAGGCAACGTTCGCCGCACGCTGTGCCGGAGCCTTGCGCAGTCTGCGGAGCAACACCTGTGGATCGACGTCTAACAGGTACTCCAGGATGTGCTGCACGGTTGCATACAGCGAGAGCGCGGAGACAGGTTGCCGCGTCTGCGGGTCGAGCTGGCCAATCGCGCAGTATTCGCCGGAGACCGGCAGCTTGCGACACTGGAACGCTACTGGCACGCCGTCGTCCTCGAGCACGAGCTGCATCTGTTCGTCCATGTAGCCGACCACGATGCCGGATTGCTCGCCCGCCAGTTCCTGCGCGGCCTGCGCGTGCGCCAGTTTCTGCGCGATCTGCGCGTCGAGTCGAACTACACAAGCGCCGCACGCACCAACGTCCATCGCGCTGGGAGCGACGCGCTGCGGGCTGTCACTCATGCACTCCGAGCGGCTGCAAAAGCGAAGGGGGCGCGGAACAAGGGCGTTGCGCGATTATCTCGGAGTAATTTTCGCAGACGCGAATAATCTAACAATTATTTTATTTCTGACAGAATGACAGAAACTCGGTCCAGCATTGTGGAACTCATCGAAAAGGCTGCGAAGTGGGAGGAAGTGGCATTCTCGAGTCGCGTTTTAGCGCTCGTGAACTTCTCGCTGTTTTTGCTAAAGAGCTTCAGCGCGAATTTGTTGCCCGCCGTGTTCGCTTTGCTGGGTATCGTGACGCTCGCAAATTTTGTGCTGAAGCGCTACACCGAATTTGACCTCTCGAAGGCGTCGATGTGCGTGAGCAAGGAGGTCACGGACTCTGTCTCGCAGTTTTTGGAGAAGATTTTCAACTTCGTCTGCGCTTCGCTGCTGCGAATTGTAGCGTGGGAGAGCCCAAACCTGAGCATGAGCTTTGCTGCCTTTTGTCTGGTCTCTTCGTGCTTGTTAAAGTACCTGAGTTTCCCGATTGTGCTTTGGATCTTGGTGAACGCCTACATGTTGAAGGAGCCCGTGCGCAACTGGTACGCGAATCACTTGTCGCGTCACGCCGAGCCGGCGCTCAGGGCGTCGTTCGAGTTTTTGAACGAGAAATCCGAGCCGGCCAAGGAGTTCGTAAGGTCTGCTGTCAGAAACCGCAAGAGAAAAGAGTGATCTGTTACTTTTTAGTGTTTTGAAGCCAAAATATGCGCTTCGATTTTCTGTATTTTCAATTGTTATTGCGAGTTGCCCCGCCATGCGCAGAAGCTAAATGTACGCAGGCAGCGTGACTGTGGTTTACACCACCGATGGCTGCTTTTGGCTGGGCGTACTGAAAACTTTTGATCAGTTCGGCAACTTTTTCCTAGACTATACGATTCAGGCGCGACAGAGTTCCAAAAACTCGCGAGAGTTCGCTGAGCTATACGTCGGAATTCAGCTCTTTCGGCTGGAGTCAGTGATGTACTTTGGCGACTCCGCCGTGCTGCAGCTGCCGGACTACCTCAACTACGTCGCCAGTATCGAGCACGCGATTCCCGAGACGTCGCGCTGCGCGCAAGTCTTCGGCCCTGATGCGCGCGCCGTCCCTTACGCGGATTTTGTCGAAGAGGAGAAGCGTCTCAAAGCCGAGGAGCGGCAAGCACGCGCAACGCTTGCGCTGCACAACTTCTTTTTGCGCAGCGATCAGCCCAGCTACCGCGAGGCGGCGCGTGCGCACTTCGGCTCCAGCTCTGATGAAGCATTTTTAGCCAGCTATAGGGCGCATCTCGCAGTGCTGAAGCCGCTGCTCGAGCGCAACAACGCGGACGCGCTACAAGTACGCGAGGAACACTAGGGTTTATTTGTGGAGAGGATAAATACATATTTTCATTTTAAGCTGCGGCTGTCAAGGCTAATGCAGAAGGGAGACGTTTCCTCGCTAGTTGATTTAGAGAAACGGCTGCGCGCGCTGGAGGAGCGGGTCGGTGGCTTCGCCGCCGACGTGCAGCCGCTCCAAAACGTGCGCAGCTCCGGCGAGAGCGGCCGAGCGTTGGCAGTCGAGCTGGGCAAGCTGCAACTGCGCTACGATTCGTTGGCCAAGTTGAATGCTGCTCTGGAGAAGCAGCTCGTCGACTTGATGCACTTGCCGGAGCGGTCCTTCAGCATTTCGAAATTTATTAGCGAGAAGAACGCGCTCGCCGACGAAGTGCAGCGGCTGCTGAAGCAGCTGGCAGCGCTCGAAGAGAACCAGCGCGAGGCATGCGACCGCGTCGCTGCGCGGTCTGCTGAGGAGCTCGCTGCAAGCACTGCGCGGCACGAGCAGGAGGCTGCGCGACTGCGCGAGGAGCTGAAGAGCGTGAACGCGAAGTTGCATCAGGTTGAGAGGGAACGAGACGCTGCTCGGGAGAGTCTTGCGCGCGAGGACGTCAACAGCGCTGCTGATCGCGAGCGGTTGCAGGTGCTCAGCGCGGAAAACGAGCGGCTGACAAGGTCACTGCGCGAAGAATTGAGCTTTGTAGCGCAGCACAAAGAGGTAGTTGGGTTGCTCACTGAAGACCTGAAGGCGCGGCAGCTCGCTAGTGAGCGCGCAGCCGCGCAGCGCGCGGCGGATAGTGGGGAGGGCTGGCAGTTACTGAGTACGGGTTTAGAACGCGTCGAGAAGTCGATTGCGGAAGCTCTGTGCTCCGCTCTGCAGAGCAGCGGGGCGCAACTTCACGCCGTGATAAAAGAAGCCGTCCGCGCAGCTGCGGATGGTGCCTGCGCTGCAGCAGAAGCTCGGCGAGCGCAGCGACTGCCTGTGGCCGATTTGCCGGCCGATGGCGCGCTCGCGGCTGCGCATGAACAGAAAGTGCAACAGTTGCTTCGCGAAGTTGAAGCGCTGAGATCCAGCAACAACTTGATGCGCCGTAAGCTTAACGCGCCGTTGAATCTTACGCCCGAGCTGAAACAAGAGCTCATCGAGATTCTTGCGGAGGGCGCTAAGACGTATCACATCTGCCAACTGCTGCAGCAAAAACAAGCGTCCGCTGAGAAATCGGTGACGTAGTCTGCGGCGCGTAAGTGGATGCAGACTACTTTGCGCGGCTGCAAAATTCAGAGTGCGCACGACGTCCAACAGTGCCGGCCGTCGTAGCGAGCGCGCCAGTTTTTTATGGAAAACGATTTACACACTTCTGGAAATAGCTCCTTCTGCAATGCACTAGCCCGATGCGACTCGATTTCATCCGACTGTCGCGCGAATGTTGGGTTGACATCAGTGATAAGGCGCGCAACGTGCGCGAGATCTATTCGCCGGCGAAAAAGCTGGTTACGCGCACCGGCAAAGCGTTGTGCAACGTCGTCCAGCCGAGTAGCGCCTCGCTGGTGTCGCGAAAATACGTAGATCACGCGCAGAACGTGCGCATCTCGAGAGCGTTCCGATCGCATTTCAAGGACAAAGACGAATACGCAGTAATGACGCATTCGTTGAACGAACTTGTCGAATGGTTTGACGAGGGCGAACTACACCTGCAGTACTACCGTAG